AGCACTGGTGGAGGAATTCAGGCATGAGCAGTCTTGAGGGGAGTGTCAGTGGAAGGCACCGTGACAGAGGAAGATGCAATGCTGATGGGTTAACAGCATTTGGAAGCTCCAAGAAAGAGCTGCCATGAGTGAGGGGGATATTTAGGTTGGGTTCTAAAGGATGCATAGGAGTTTGCAAGTCAGACAAGAAGGTGTCAGAGGTCCAGGATGTAGCAGGAATAGTAGACTCAGTTGCCAAAACAGATAGAAAAGGAAAAGGGCAGAGGAAGCAGTAAACGAAGGGGAGCAGAGTAAGTCAGGGGTGCAAGCCCCAAGCCCCACCTCAAGGTATTTAGATGGAGGTTTTGGTTGATTTGTTTGTTTTGCTCCAAGCAGAAAAAATACCCAGGGGGGCTCATTCCACAAAATACTAAGAGACCAAGGAGAAGTATGTTGACTGAGATGAAGAACTGATTCTTTTTTGTTTGCTTGTTCATTTGTTGTTGTTATTGTTATTGTTTGGGGTCACACCCAGCCATGCTGGTGGCGGGGAGGAGGGTTTACTCTGGCTCTGCGTTCAGGAATTACACCTTTCAGTGCTTCGGAAGCAATATAGGATGCCAGGGTTCAAACAAACCATCACTTCAGCCCAAGATTTTTCTTTTTCAATAAGGTTGCATGAAATTCCAGGCGTGTTTTAGAAAACACGAATTGCCAAGGAGAGGCAGCAAAGCTTTACGTCAAGCCAGATCTGAGAAAGCAGGGGCCAGAACCCCAGAAAAGGGGAACCCCTGGGGAGTGGGAAGAGTAAGTGAAGAATCCTTTCCCAAAACATAACCTGACCCTGCTGTGACTTCATCAGGCTAGAGCTCTGTCTCTTAGCAGCTGTGTGGCCCTAGGCAAGGGGCTCACACTCTCTGGGTTGCTCTTCCCTGGAGTATCTGGAAAGGGCACCACAATTCTGGAACTCCAACCGGTCAGGAAATCCTACAAATGGGAAAGTGGCCAAGCATCTCGGGCAATCCAGAGACTTCAGAGCACCCATCTCCCTCTTAACACTCACATGAGGATGCAGTGATGCTCAGGAGTGAGCCAAGCGTTCATGGAATACAAATGACATCATGAGACAATGCAGTGACTGTGGGTCCTAACAGCTGCCCTGCCCACATAGTGTCTTGGAAGGGGGTCCCTCTCACCTCTCTCAATTCCTTATATGCTCACCTCCCCTTTCCCTGGCACCACCAACACTTTGAAAAATTACTGTGTTGACAGGTGAAGAATTCCAGGGAGAAGAAAGGTGGGAGTAGCTTTGGGGATCAGCTGATGCTGACCAAGGAGGAATGAACAGTCAGTGTGGGGGACAGCAGCTAGCTAGCAGTCCCTGTCCCCGAGCTAGGAAGGAAGGCTGGAAGCTCAGCTGGGAGTTCTAGGGAATTTTCTTTATATGATGCCCATTGCTGGAAACTTCAGAATTCAAAAAAACCCAACACATAAGTCCCCGCTCCCTGACCCCTGAGACTCCCAGATTTGCCCGGCAGGGCAGGCAGGGTCTGTGACTTCATAACAGACAGAAATGTTTCAGCTCATAACCACTGCCCAGGTCCCCTCGGTCAGCATGCCAAAGTTCCCCTAAATTCCCGTTTGGTTGCCTTTATCCGATCTTTGCGTCTTAAAAAAAAGGCCTTTTGGAAACCTAAGGTCCCTGCTCATCCACTCTATCCACCTGAGATGAGACTCCCCAACACACACCAGCCCCCACTGTACCCACCCCCCACCCCAGGCCAGAAGCAACGTGGTGGGGCCGCTGAGAAGGGGCCGGGGAGTGAATGAAGACACAGACCTCAGAGCTTTTGCCTCTTATCTCGGGTGAACCTTTGAGGTTTCTCAGTTCCTGCTGCCCATCAGAGCGGGCCCTCTGGAGACTTCAGCGAAAGCCTGTAGGTGTCTCTAGAAACCTCGAGCGCTTTACAGAGTCAATGAAGGAGCACTGAAGCCTGGAGAGTGTGTGTTTGTTTTTTGTTTTTTGTTTTGCTTTTTGGGTCATACCCAGCGATGCACAGGGGTTACTCCTGGCTCATGCACTCATGAATCATTCCTGGCAGTGCTCGAGGGACCATATAGGATGCTGAGAATCAGACCCAGGTCGGCCACATGCAAGGCAAATGCCCTACCCGCTGTGCTATCGCTCCAGCCCCTGGAGAGTGTGTTTAAGAGGAGAGACGTGGGGCAGGAGCAATATACACCAGAGAGGGCATTTGCTTGCACATGGTTGACCTGGGCTCAATCCCCAGCATCCCATATGGTCCCCTGAACCCACCAGGAGTGATTCCTGAGCACAAAGCCATGAGCAATCCCTGAATATCACGAGGTGTATCCCCCGCCCCCACAAAAAAAAAGAGGAAGGATGTAGAGTCCCAGGACCTCCTGGGGCCAACTGCCAGGATGGGAGAGTAAGGAGTTGGGATTCTCCATAGAACCACAAATATGCTGGCATGCCAGGCATAGGGTAGTGCACTGGTTACCCAAAAAGAAGGCATGACCAGGAAAAGATAGTACAGTGAGTCGGGTGCTTGCCAGGAGCACAGCCAACCCAGGTTCCATCCCCAGCGTCTCATATGGTCCTTTGAGTGCACCAGAGTGACCCCTGCGCTCAGATGCATATCACGGTCACGGTCATGGTCCTCCCATTGTTCATCGATTTGCTCAAGCGGGCCCAGTAACGTCTCCATTGGAAACTTTGTTGTTACTGTGTCTGGCATATCGAATATGTCACGGGTAGCTTGCCAGGCTCTGCCGTGCGGGCGAGATACTCTCGGTAGCTTCCAGGCTCTCCGAGAGGGTCGGAGGAATCAAACTCGGGGCTCAGATGCATATGGAATTAAATTTAAAAATAAAAAAATAGAAGAAAAAGAAGACGCAGCCAGGGAGGAACATCTAGCTACATTGCTTTAAGGAGGGCTGGGGGCTATGTGTTAAGATCCCGGTTTAAGGCTGGGAGCGAAGGATTACGTGTGGGAGACAGAAAGTTGCCAGCAGAGCTAAGCCGGAACTTGCTGGAGATAAAGTACTTGTTTATTTATGTGGCCTGGTGTCTTTCCTCCTTCCTCCAACAACCAAACCAAGTCCAAATTTCTGCTTTCTACACACACACACACATACACACATACACACACACACACACACAATCATCCCTATCTACAGAACCTTGACTTGATGTTATGTCGCAGGATTTCCAGCAGGTGGCACTGTTCCCAAGGACACTGGCCCATGAGGCGGACTTAGAACCAGAGGGCATGGCGTAAATGCCCCACAGCCCAGAGGGTGCTGGGAGCAGAGTCCCTGGGGAAATTCACCAGGTGCCTCCAGGGGTTGAACGTGAAACAGACCTGCGACTCCCTCCTTGGCAAACTTTATGCTATCGCAGGTATTGCCTGTCCCATGGGTTAAGGCCAGACTGAGGTCAAATTAGGAGGGAGGACCAGGCAGGTGGGGTGCTCCCTGGGTACTGGAGATGAAACTTCCCCTCATCAGTAAGTTTCTGAAGAAGAAACACCTTCCAGGCTCAGCCACAGAGCAAACAGAGCAGGGGGCCCCCTTCACCTCCATCCTCCCACAGCAGGCCATGCACTGGCTTGGGGGTCCCTGCCTCTAGTACAGACCCTAGGGGAGCCTCCTGTCCTCCCCAGGCTCTGACCATGCAGGGCCTGGCCCCTCCTGCAGCAGGACCCAGTCCTCTCTCACTGTCTCCACAGTCCTGGGTCAGCAACAAGTTAAAGAACAAACACGTGCTTCAACTCAGCAAAGAAAATGACTATTGCAGTCCAAGACTAGTCATTCCACAGCACCTCCACAGGGCACTGCCCGAAAGGCACCCTGGTCCCCTGAGAAAGATGAGCAAGGCATTCATTCATTCATTCATTCACTCATACAAGTCTAGGCCACGCCTCAGTTCTATGCCTACAATGGGCTAAGAGGTTCCAGCAGCAAAGGCAGGCCAGGGTGGCCAGTGAACGAACCACTCACCAGTGCCAACGAGTTCAGTGGAACGAGGACTGAGGAGCTAGTGGGTCCCCAAAGCACCATTCATCCAGAAAAGCCTGCAAGACTACTGTCCCCCCAGCCCTGGGGCATTACCTCATCTCAGACTGGCTGACAGCATCTCAGCACCTATCAGGACACACACACACACACACACACACACACACACACACACACACACAGACAGCAGCACCACACACACACACACTCAGACACCAGCACCTCACACACACACACACACATTCCTGACACAGAAGCAGCTTCCACACACTCTCAGACACCAGCACCTCTTACACAGATACACACATACTCTCACAATACATTCACACATTGTCACACGCTTACACACTGTCACACACACTCATACACACAGAAATACAAGCATGTCACACACAAACATGCACACCGGAAAACACCAACTCTCACACACAGACACCTGACTTCAGGATCTCTCTCTCTCCCTCTCATATACAACACACACACACACAGAGTCTCACACACATTCACACACACACACAATCTCACACACGTTTTCTCTCTCTCCCTCTCACACACACAATCTCACACACGTTTTCCCTCTCTCCCTCTCACACACATACACACAGTCTCACACACATTCACACATACACACACACACACACACACACACACACAGAGCTCCAGTGCCTCACAGGCCTGACCTCCTGCTCAGACCAGGAGTCAGGGGCTGGCTCTCAGGGGTCCGGGCCTGAACAGACTTCCAGCTCCTGCAGACTCGCAAAGTGACAAAGGGAGTTGACATGGGGTTGCGTCTGCTTTCCAGGGTGCAGGAGAGGGAGGTAAGGGCCACGGGCATAGCAGGCAAGCGCCCACTCGCAGACATGGTCTAGTTCTCAGGCTCTGTCCCAACACAGGCCTGGGGCTGGTGGCTCTGTGTGGGCCGAGGCTCCACCAGCTCCTTTCCTGTGCCAGGGAACTGGCAATGACCTTCTCCCTTTGTCTCCACAGGGAAGCCCATCCGGGGCATGCTGGGCTGGGTTCTCCTCATCCTCTTCCAGGTGAGTCCATGCCCAGGAAAGCTGTGCGCTGCCCCCTTGCATCTGCCCCTGCCCTCGATTGACCCCGCGGTGTCTGCAGGAAGGCAGAAGAACCAGACCCTCCCCCGACATCTGGTGTCCCCCCCAGGCTCCCCGCTCCCCCACACCCCTCATCTGCTCAGTGACCTAGCATGCCCCAGGTAGATGCTCCCACATGGACCATCAGATGGGGACAGACTCCGCCTCCTGAGGGTCCTGGAGACAGGTGGGGCTCTGCAGACAAAGGACGGGTGGCAGGAGGTTGCTCACGTGCACTCCCACCCAGACAAACACGTGAGGGAGGGAGAGGGCAGTGTTCCCGCCCCTCTTACCACGCTCACCCCCAGAGCTGTCTCCTGCCTCCCACCCCAGCCAAAGCCTTTGTAAATGAAGGAATCGCTGGAGCCCCATGCTGGAGCCCCATGACGGGGCAGGAAGGAAGGGGCCCAGCCAGGGAGCGGGGAGGGAGCCAGTCCTTTCCTGTGAAGCAAGCCCCACACATCCCCCACTCCCCGCGCCCCCCCCCCCCCCCGCCTACACACATGCACGCACACACACACACCTCCACCACCACCATTCACAGGGGCCTGCTCCTCAACCCCAGAAGTGGGCACAGGCCATCAGCCTCCACAGAGTGCCAGAGTCCAGGAGCCTGGAAGTCCTGTCCCCCCGGCGGTAGGGGTGCGGGGGCCGAGCTGGCAGGAGCTGCTGCAGAATCTGGCTCACCCCCAGCTCCAGAGGCCAGAAGGCAGCTTTCCAGCAGCTCCAGCCAGACCCAGGCCCCACACTGGGCACTGCTCCCGGATCCCTGGCCCAGAGGCCCCTCCTGGGGCTGCAGCTCGAAGTCTGGCCGCCTGCCCCACCGTCCCGCCCCTCCACTTCAGACCGTGCAGGCTGGAACTAGCGGTGGGGCTGGGAGGGCCGGGCTGGGCCTGGGACAGCTGAGCTCGGTCCTCGCTGACCTTGGGAGCATCAGGGGGACGTCTGAGGGGGTAGAATGAGGTGGCGCTGTGGGCCGCAAAGGCATCCAACCTGGTGGGCTTTGAGGAGGGGAGAAAGGAGGAAAGATAGGTGGTAGGAACTCCCCCCCACCCAGTTCCTAGAATTTATCTACCCTCTGGGACCCCCACACCAAAGGTGTCAGATCTCCGGCTGGGGTCGGGGGCAGCCATACCAGTCTTTTGTAGCTGGAAAAGATTCTTGAGCCTCATCTGCTCCTGTCCAACCTCCTGGTAGGACAGAGACACATCTTAGGGTATCAGCACAGCAATAGGGAAGTAGGGAGATGGTGCCGTGAGCAAAGCCATGTCCTCCCCAGGAGTCCCTTCCTCATCCGTATAGCCCCTCTCATCCCCACTTGTCCGCACACCCATCCCGCTGAACTCCAGCTTCCCAGAAGAACCCGGAATATCCCAGTCAGCTCCCGCCAGGCTCCCAGGCTCCCAGGCCGTCGCCCGGCAGGCAGACGCGTGTCGTCTTCAGTGGCAAAGTCACAGCAGCTGTCAGAACCCATCACATAGGCTGAGAGACGGTGTTGAGCTTCCTTCCAGCCTCCCCAGAGACTCAGGCACAAATGAGTGGGAGAAGGAGGAAAGGGAGGAGGAGGCGGAGGAGGAGGAGAAGGTGAAGAAGGAGGAAGGGTCACAGCTGGCTGGGGTGGGGCTGGGAGTGCAGATTCCCACACCCCCACCCAGCTGCCCCCAGCAGGCCACCCCTTGGAACAGCCTTCCGACCAGGTTCCCAGGTGGGCATTCTCTGAGGAGTGTCCACCTCAAACATCCCTGGGGGGGGGGGGGGGGGTCTTGGTAAAGCCATTCCTGGCTTGGCGGTTGGGGATGGTCTAAAGTCTTAAGAGGGGCTGGAGTGATAGCACAGCGGGTAAGGCATTTGCCTTACAGGCGGTCAACCCTGGTTCGATTCCCAACATCCCATATGGTCCCCCGAGCACCACCAGGAGTAATTCCTGAGTACATGAGCCAGGAGTAGCCCCTGTGCATTGCCGGGTATTACTCAAAAGAGAAAAAAAAAGTCTTAAGAGTCTGAGAATGCAACAGTGGTGCCTGAACCTTTGCTCTGGGCCACGTGGGGTGCGGCAGGCGGGAGATGGCCGCCACCACCACAAGGCTCAGCCGGCCCACACATCCCCGTTTGCGGCCCCGCAGGTGTGTCTGTGTGAAGACGAGGTGACGGATGACTACAGCGATAGCAACACCACCGTGGACTACTCGAGCTACGAGGTGCTCTGCTCCAAGGAGGATGTCCGCGCCTTCAAGGCCTGGTTCCTGCCGGTCATGTACTCCCTCATCTGCTTCCTGGGCCTGCTGGGCAACGGGCTAGTGGTACTGACCTACATCTACTTCAAGCGACTCAAGACCATGACGGATACGTACCTGCTCAACCTGGCCCTGGCTGACATCCTCTTCCTCCTGACGCTCCCCTTCTGGGCCTACAGCGCCGCCAGGTCCTGGGTCTTCGGCGCCTACCTCTGCAAGCTCATCTTCAGCGTCTACAAGATGAGCTTCTTCAGCGGCATGCTCCTACTCCTCTGCATCAGCATTGACCGCTACGTGGCCATCGTGCAGGCCGTCTCGGCCCACCGCCACCGCGCCCGCGTCCTCTTCATAAGCAAGGTGTCCTGCGTGGTCATCTGGGGCTTGGCCATCCTCCTGTCCATCCCTGAGCTGCTCTACAGCGGCCTGCAGGAGAGCAGCATCGGCCAGCTGTGGCGCTGTTCCCTGGCCACCGAGCACGTGGACGCCCTGGTCACCATCCAGGTGGCCCAGATGGTGGTGGGCTTCCTCATCCCCCTGCTGACCATGAGCTTCTGCTACCTCGGCATCATCCGCACCCTGCTGCAGGCCCGCAACTTCGAGCGCAACAAGGCCATCAAGGTGATCATCGCCGTGGTGGTGGTCTTCATCGCCTGCCAGCTGCCCTACAACAGCGTGGTGCTGGTCCGGACCGTGACCAGCTTCAACGTCACCAACAGCAGCAGCTGTGAGCTCAGCAAGCGGCTCAACATCGCCTACGACGTCACCTACAGCCTGGCCTGCGTGCGCTGCTGCGTCAACCCCTTCCTGTACGCCTTCATCGGCGTCAAGTTCCGCAATGACCTCTTCAAGCTCTTCAAGGACCTGGGCTGCCTCAGTCAGGAGCAGCTGCGCCAGTGGTCCTCCTGCCGGCACACCCGGCGCAGCTCCATGAGCATGGAGGCCGAGACCACCACCACCTTCTCCCCGTAGGCGAGCCCCCTCCTTCTGCACTAGAGGCGTCTCGCCATGCTCCTGGGCCCAGGGGCCCCTCGGTAGGTCGGGGACAGGACATCGAGGGGAGCGCAGCTTCTGCCTGCACCACCCAAGACACCTGTGCCCGACCCTAGCTACCTCAGCCAAGGCCGCAGAGACGCCACTCACAGGCTTCCCTGGAACCAGGCACGCTCCCGCCCCCAAACCGTGGCCTCCTGGAAGCCCACCGTGGACACCCACCGAACGTTCTCAACACCGGGCACGAAGGGGTGACGTGGCAAGGAGTTCAGGGGGACACACCGGGGGCCTGACTTGACCTCTGGATGAAACTTCTTCCCACCAAGAAAGAAGAGAAAGGCGAGGACTTAGGAAAGAAGGGCCTGAGGCCAAGCCTGGAAGAGTCTCGTTGGCTGGCCAGGGAACCCGAGACGCAAATGCGTCAGAACTAACTGCTCCGAAGCCCCCCTCCACATCTCCTTTTCCATAGTCCTCCCAGCCAGTCCCCACCCCTTACCCCCACCCTGCAAAACCAGCCCCCCACTCCCCTGGCCCTGGGCTCTCTGCTGGGAAGGGCAAGGGCGTGGTATTTCCTTCAGGCGGGCCAGAGCCCAGTTCCCAGTCTGAGCTCTGGGGAGGCTGCTGACGTGTGACGCCCTCCCCACCCCCCCAACCCCAGCAGCCCTGCTCAGGTCTCAGCCCGGCTTGCAGGAAGGAGGGGGCACGGAGGGAAAAGGGCTGGGGAGGGGTGGGGGTGGGGGGGGCGTCGTGTGGGTGGTACCGCTGGCTGCCAGGAGCCAGCGAGAGCTGCTGCTTTGTTCTTTGCCACCAGAACAAAAAGAAAAAACACAAAAAAGTCATCCTGTTCTGCTTTCATTCAGTTCATGGAGAGCACATTTTATTCACGGGCTAAGAAAAGTTTCCCCTTGAGGAATCAAGAGCTTTAGTAAAAATGAAGTGGGGAGGAGGGAGGGTCTTTGGTGAATGGCAAGTGTGTTCTTGTTTTGCTGGCCTCGGGGCCCCACCTGGGCACCCCCCTCCCCCACACTGGCCTTCACATCTCAGAGAGGCCCAGAGGCCCAGGGTCTCTGAGCCCCTCCAGACACACAAACCCAAGATGTGAAAAGAGTTAGGCAAAGGGGGCCTGCAGCAATAGTGGGGTGGGTAGGGCGTTTGCCTTGCACACGGCTGACCTGGGTTCGATGCCCGACTTCCCATATAGTCCCCCGAGCACCACCAGGAGAAATTCCAGCGTCTAGAGCAAGGAGTAACCTCTGGGCTTCTTCTGAGTGGGACCCAGAGGGGAAAAAAGTAAACAGGGAGAAGGGCAAATCACCTTGAGGTGGCTACAGCCAGGCTGGTGTGTGGGCCGATGCGGTGCTGTGGCTTGTACCTCTCACCCTGGCCAGGGACCAGGTGAGGGTAAGAGAAGACATTTGTTCATGCCAACGGCGATTCTGTGAGAAGAGCCTCCCGGAACCCCTGCTGGGCTCCGCTCAGACTCCACTTCTCTGTTCCAGGAGCCCCTGTTCCAGCCCTCCCCTGAAGACGCACCAACCTCCACTGTCGGCTGAGTTCTGGGCCAGGGGCAGCTCCCTGAGCCGGACACAAGCAGCCTCAGACCCGAGAGAGAGCACCGAGCTGAGCTCAGGCTATGCATTCAGGAGATCCCCGGTCTCCACACCATCCCCCCACAGCACCCAACCCAGCCTTAAGCACTGATCCAGGAGTAGCCCCCCAGCACCACCAGATGTGGCCCAGGAACCACAGGAAGGTGCTGCTGCCACTGAGGCACCCACGTGACGGTCTATGGGGCCCGTGGCTGATGCGTCCACATGGGACTCCTGCTCAGGGCATCCTCTGGGGGGTTGAGGGCGGAAGAACAGCTCTCGTTTCTGCAAGGGGGAGACGTAATCAAGAGGTCCTGGAAGGAGGCCTGGCCCCCACCCCACCCCCCGCGCCAGCTGCCCGGCTTCCAGTACATTTTTCTGAAATAACTGGCCTCTCGGAGTATTTACAGAAACAACAAAACCTCCTCATGTTAATTCCCCAAACTCCAGACCTCAGAATTTCTGACCTTTCAAGGATGCTGGCCCCACCCCTGCTGCTTGGCCCAGCACCTCAAGTATCTACTCTGAGATTTGGGGACCCCTGGTAAGAAAGAGAGGACTCAGTGGGAAGCCCAAGGAGGGACCCCTCCCATCTTTCCAGAGTCCAATGGCCACACATACCCCCAAGGTCTCCCAATATCCCAGTATCTTCCCAGTGAAACCCCCAAGTTACAATTCTTGCAACCAGAAACACATGCCTCCCACAAATCGTAATCCACAGAGCAGCAAGGGTCTGAAAGATGAACTGATCCTAGGTCCTGTCATTCTCCAGACAGGGACACTGAGGTCCAGAGGGATGGAGAGGCTGGCCCCAAGGGACATTGCAATGTTGGGATATTAAAAATACTTTTGCGGGGGGGGGGGTGCCCACGGGTCTGGTAACATTTCAGAAGGTGGCTGAGGGGAGCCTGGCCAGCTAAGTCTCCTCTTACGCATCCAGCTGTGTGACCTTCAGATGTTGCTCAAACACTCTGCATCTCCAGTTTCTCAATGGCAAAGGGTCTGGGGCGCCTGGAGCTCACCCAGGAGTTCTGAGTGTGCCTGAGGGCGCAGACTCCAGCCAGCCGGAGCATTTGGGGTCTTTGCTGCATATCCTGGGTCTCTGATTTGTGTCCCTGCTCGGTTTCCAGATGTATATAAGGCGGAGAATATCTGCCTCCTGGCACTGAGGGTCAATGAGTTAAAAAAAAAAAATGTCAAAATGCTGGGGGCCAGAGGGATAGTACAGTGGGGAGGGCATATGACAGACCCAGGTTCTATCCCTGGTATCCCATATGGTCCCCTGAGCACCAGTAGTAGTCCCTGAGTGCAGAACCAGGAGTAACCCCTGAGCACTGCTAGGTATGGCCCAAAAACAAAAACAAAATAATGATTCTTGCTTCGCATGTGGCCAGCCCAGTTTCCATCCCTGCCACCACATATATCCCCTGAGCGTTGCCAAGAGTGAGCTCCGAGCACCACTAGGAGTGGCCCAAAAGTATTTTTTAAGTGAATTTAAGTTATAAAAAAAAGATAAATGATGAACGGTAGTTCTATTTTAATTTTTTTGCAGGGGGTCACACTCAGCGATGCTCAGGGGTTTTTCCTGGTTCTACACTCAGGAATCACTCCTGGAGGTGCTTGGGGGACCATATGGGATGCAGGGAATCAAACCCAGGTCAGCCAGGTGCAAGGCAAACACCCTCCCTACTGTACTACCACTCCAGCCCCAATATTAGCAGCTTTAAAGAATTGTAACTAACTGCAAGGAAGCCAAGCTCAATTCCTTTGCCTCCTGGACTTTCCATCTCACATGAACGTGAAGATGAGTCTGTTTATCCACGACTACAAAGGTGAGTCCGAGGCCCAGAGGGAAAGTGAGTCTCAAGAGTAATCGATGCTAGAATCTAACCCAGGATCCCACCTTCTGTCCAGCTCTCCCCACCACCCCTGCCTGAGCCCTCACCATCACAGCCCCCTCTGCCCAGCAGCCACTGTCCGACTCCCCTGTGCCTGGTCCTAAAGGAGACCAAAGGGCAAAAGAAATAGGGCAGTGGGCTAGTTAGGGCTGACACAGGTTTGATCCCCGGCATCCCATAAGTCCCCCAAGCACAGCCAGGAGTAATTCCTGAGTGCAGAGCCAGGAGTGACCCGAGTGCAGAGCCAGAGGTAACCCGAGTGCAAAGCCAGGAGTAACCCCTGAGTATCGTCAGGTGTGACCCAAAAAGCGCCCCCCTACCAAAAAATAGGACAGCAATCCCAGAGGAAATGGGCCACCCACCCATGCTCTCTCTTTTCTTCCCTTATTTGATGTGTTGGTATCCAGAATGATCCCTGAGCATAGAGCCACGAGACTCTAGCACAACACGGATGGTCTCCCCTCCAGAATAAAAGCAGGTCCAAGAGGGCTGGGGAGCTGACCCTGGGGTCAGGGATCTGTGTCTCGAATGCACAAGAACCCGAGTTTAATCCCTGGCACCTCTTGGCCCCACAAGCATCCCAGTGTGGCTCTGGTAGCATCACTGAGCTGAACAATCTCTGCTCCTGGGGCCCGAGCCTGGAACTGTCCCAGCCAGGAGCAGACCCCGAGCAACAAACACTGAGCTGGCGGTGGCCAGAAAACAGAAACAGGAAGATGTGGGGGGAGTCGGGGAGCTAGCTGGAGGTGAAACCCCAGGAGAGGTGTATGAACAATGACCAGAGCTCAACGCACAGCTCTGCATGGTGCCCTGCAAAAGAGCCAGCTTGACCGCGTATCACTGGGAGTGGCCCCCACTCTCCTAATAACTGCTTGGCTGGAATCCCCCACCAAAAAAAAAAAAATTGTTCGTGAAATAAATCCCTGGATGCCAAAAGTGAGGGCCTCCCACTCTACCTAGCTGGAGGTGCATCAAACCCCCTTTCCGCTCGCCATCCAGGAAACTGAGTCTGGGAGTGGCCAGGCTGTGGCCCTCTGCCAGTCGGCGGTCCAGACTCCAGGTGACCCGCCTCCAGGGAAGAGGCCCAGACAGGAAACCTGCAGGCTGCCTTGCTAATGTAACGTCCACTCCCATCTCCCCCCCCCCCCCCCCCCCCCGCCAATACCCGCCCCCCATCTCAGGGTCCAGCTCAGCAAACAGATGTCGTTGCCATGGCAACCGAAACCCCAACTCTCTTTCCTCTGAACTCAAATTTCCAGCACGGCCTGTGCTCCCCCTCCACCCGCATCCGTCATCATCTGGCCAGGAGACTGTGTCCAGCAGCCACCCAGTCCCCCACGCCCCCCTCCCCTCCTCCAACACACACACACACACACACACACACACACACACACACACACACGCCCGCAGGGGACCCTGCCAGGTTTCCCCCGGACGGATGGTGCTGGCCAGGTCTAGAGTCAGACCTGAGTCTTTAAACATCCCCCGATAA